ATCATGTGCCTTCGTCCTTTATTGTAAATATCTAACTTCCTTTTACTCTATAGTTTTCGCATCCAATGAATTGTATTTATATAATATGACCAACAAATTATTTATACCTATACGTATTATCAAAATATCTTTAAACTTGTTGCGGTCCCGGAACTTCGCTATATAGGCTGGATGGTTTCTTCAATTAAAACATGTACCCATTCTAGATATATCTTATATTATGCTACAGATAGCGCTTATCTTATGCCACAGTAGTATCAAGTTCATCTGAAACCCATACACCAAAAGAATTTTAGTACTGTCATAATGAAACATGGCCTGAGCACTTTTTAATGCGTATTCCCTGTAAGAAATGTCTGACAATGAACATACGCTTATCTATATAAACTTTTTCGGTGTGTGCTTTGAGCGAACGACAACATTAAATTTGTAATTTATATCTGGACATGTAATTTTTTGACCGAACCATAAATTTTGGACACCTTTTCGGGCCATAACCGTAAATCTCGTTTAAAAAGTGAAGATTTGTGTAAATCATCGGCTTTAGTCAACTCTGCAAACGACATATAAAAAACGTGATCAACTTCATTTAAAATGTTGTGAGATTTATTACCTTATATTTTTGTGCGTTTTAGTATCATTCGGGAAAGCGGAGGTCAGATAACAGTTGGGTATTCTGTTTATTGTGGACAATACGACAAATAAATCAAAGAACTTGAAATAAAAATAAGTAATTGGAGGAATATAAAATACATTAAAATGATGAGGAACAAAATATTGAGCCTATAAATATCTCAGAGCGCAAAATAAAAAAAATAGACAAGTGATTCAAATTAAGCAAATATATTTTTAGGAAACACAAAAATCCCGACTAAAGTAACTGAAAAAATGAATTTATAATTGAACTATCAAGTGGAATCTGAGGTTACAAATGTCAAAATCCATCAAGCCGTTTGGGCTGTAGCCCGTGAAACAGATTTTATTGGATACAAACTTGTCGTGGTTGAAAGCATATAAATATACTGCTGATATAAAAAATGAGATGTATCCCCTCCGAACCCCAAGAACCCCAACCACTGATTCTTAATCTTTACAAATTTTTTTCTGAAAACGATTAGGAGCACCTGGAACGTCAAAAAACGAAATTTGAGCTATTTTTATTTTTTTCGTTTTTGCCCTTCACGTCGCTGCCACTGGACCGATTTTCAAAAAGTACTAAGCTGTTTCGTCCTTGGTGTAGTAGTAATATTGTATGAAAATTTCATCAAAATATGAGCGGTATTTTTCAAGTTATAGAGACAGACACACGGAAATGGTATGTCGTGATGTATGTGCATCCCTTATAACTTCTAAAAAACAATCTTCAAAATGATGCGCGATTATAATGATTTTTCACCAGTAGGCATAAACTAAAAACTAAATCTTATGTTTAACGAGCCGCTGCTGTTTCTAGTTTGAGCGAAGTAACTCGGCAGAGTTTTGCGAAGAGACTAGGGACGCAAAGATTTATCATCTACAAATGGTCGCCGGCTGTAAAGTAAGTTATTCCCAAACAAACGGGATTTATATACTAAAAACTTCTAGGTCCCGTAGCTCGCGAGGAGAAATATGCCTTTGGCAGAGCGTCAAACGGCAAGATACAACACAACAGTTTATTGTGTGTTTGGATCGTTGAGGTTACGACTCTCATTTAAGAGAAAAAACATGAGAACAAGCATCTCAATTTATTAAACTGTGGGTAGGTACGACACGATATTTTTGATGTGGTTGAAGCATACCATGTTTATTTCAAATATACGGGTTAGGTTTTTTCGAAACCTTCAGATGCAGTTAAACGACAAAAAACATTCTGAGATTTGAATTGCCTGTACGTTGTGCTTAAAGGCAGTAATACTATTATGACTACACAAGTGCAGTATTTTTCGCAACACTCCATTGAATCTAACGACAGTAAATAACAGCTGATCATCTAATAACATTCAAAATATCCCATATCGACCAGTCGCATACATAAAATTTTGACGGAACTGTCAACGCCACACGAAACAAAACAACTTGAAGTGTGGCAACAGTGTACCCTACAGGTGTCCTGCTGCAATACTGCTTCACCTCCGAGTCAGAACGATTGGTTGCCAAATTTATAAAGATTTGCGCGAAATTCCATTTGCTCTTTTTCCGAAACAGGATCGGGTCATAATTAACTTAATCAGTACTCAAAAATAGGTCTCTGGCCTGCGAAGAACAGGTTTCATATAGGTAGCAAAAATCATATGAATCCAATTATCCTTTTGATTTCTTCAACTTAATAAGCCCGCTTGTAGTAACCATATGAAGTTGTGTAAATGTTCAGCCATTGCAATCGTTGTATTCTAACCATCTGAACTGCCGACACGGGATTGGTCACTAGCGGGCACCATCTAGTCGTTTTATAACAAGAAGAATTTGATAATTGGAAGAACGTGAACGGACGATCATGGGAGAGTCCTAGCAACCAGAAATTATTTTGCAGCCATCTGTACGGGTTATCATTTACAACTACCTATATGCTCTCATAGAATGTAACTTACGAGAACCTGAATTTTTAGGATGAGTTATATAAGCATTAACCCAGAATCTAGTAACGTGGGTTACGGAGATTAGTGTGGATAATATTTAAACATTGACTATTTACAGACATCCGAATTCTGGAAGATAGTCACAAGATTAAATGTGAAGAGAAAGAAATTACCGAGTCAAAAGATATCGTGATGTGAAGTTGTAAGATCGAAAAAGAAAAAGATATACCATATTTTCGTAAAAAAATTACAATTTGACTCTGTTTTATCGGCAACAGTAACATATATCATCAACATGTTCCAATACACCGAAATCGAATGTATTGTATGTGTACCGGTCAAAAATAAATCTTTTGCATATATATGCACGCACGTATATCCAGCAGGCTATGAACGTTCATTTTTGCAATTCCGGCGCCGGAACAATAGAGCAGCGATCGATGCGGCGATAACTGAGCGGCAGCGGCGTTTTTTATACGCTCTGTCTATCGGCTACGAGATAGGCACAATAGGACCGTTCTTCTGGAAATTATCTGTTCTGCAGTCAGTCCCCGGTAGCCCTTCGCCGAAATTATAATGAATTTTAGCGTTTTTTGCGATAGATTGGACACTTCGCTATTTTAGGCGGTGCTGTATTTTTTTTCTCGAACAGGATTTGATCGGGTTCATAGTAGGACAAAGCTACCAGTACGAGCGGTCAACGGTTCCTAATTTTTACGTTATTATAGTCATCATGGATAAGAAGTGCTTCAATTTATCCCTACAATAAGCTGTGAAAAACCGATATACTGGGTATTACAGAATGTTTCTGGGAAAAGGGCCGATTCAGAATATTTTAATTTCCCACGGCTACTGGCTGGGAAGTATTGTAATCGCGAAATTTTTCGAAATTGAAAATGTTATACGACATGTCACTCTTTGCCGTCGGTCTGTCTGTCTGTCGCCCTGTCCAGTTATAACCGCCTATAACTTGAGAAGTACCGCTTGGATTTCAGTGAAACAATTTACGTTACTACTGTGTCTAATATGCATACAATCGGTCCAGTGGCGGCAGAGACGGGCGTAAAACGAAAAAAGTGAAAATCGCTCGAACTTCGTGTTTTGACGTTTCAGATGATAGATAATTTTTGAAAACAATTTTAGAGGTAAAAAACTTGGGGGTGAGGTTTGTAGGCAGGCATTTATCTTAATTTTAGTACATTTATATGCTGCCAACCTTGGTAATTTTACGCACCTATTAGACATATTTCGCACATTAGCTTTTTAGATTTCTCTCTACATTAGCTCGGAAAAACATTCTCGGCAGGCGGATCGCGTACCTACTGGCGCGGCTGTGGAGTGTTCTGTTGTTCTGGTATGATATAATACCCTCTCCAGACTCACGCGCGGATCACGGCGTGAAATCGCGGCGCGAATCCCGAAATTTGTTCCTACAGTTCCACACTCGCAGATGTTCGCGCCTGCTTCACAGTATAGTTGACGAGTATGGATGATGAAATTGCTACTGGTGCTGCAGGCTACTTTGCGCTTTGGCAATTTATAATTACGTATATATAAGTAAAACTAGAGCAATTGAAAAGAAGTGTAAAAAACACAACCATTTCCGGCACTCGCTATGAGGCAACTGAAACACCAGCGAATGAGGAGCCTAGTCATGTTCGCGCCTTGCGAACCCTTTGTCGCGGGGGAAAACCGACAACAAACGGGAACAATGCGCGAATGCGACGTGAAGCCGCGAAGAATACGCGAATGGGATCCACACTCATGGGTCGCGGGTAGTTTGCCGCTTCGCGCGTGAGCCTGGAGAGGGCACAACACATATGTATTTCTGCCGCGTCACAGCTTAGTGTTTCCGATGCTCTGACCGCGCTGCTACGTCTGACCGAGTTTACTATCGGGGAGAGGTTCCAGATCTGTTTGACTGACCTTCTTCTCAGAGGGTCTAGTTTGTGTTAAATATAACGCTTTATGAACTGATAACAGCATTGCGTGGGAAGTGTAGAGGCAACTTGGTTGACGCCAGGGCTGACCCCTGCTTTCAAATGAAGTAATAGGGACAAATAGACCTCATATTGGGAGCCAGCGACTCCAAAATCCTGCGGACCAGTGTAATAGATTTGATTTACCGGCACTTCTTCGTACCGAAGCAGCCGCCCTTATCATCTATAACTGTGTGGTACTCAACGCGTTTAGCTAGGTAGCAGGAGGAAGTCTATGATTTGCTTGTATCCAAAATGCTTTAATGACGCAATTATTAGATTTTTTGCAACTTATTAAAACATTTCAGAATTTTTCTCGGCTCTTTGAATCTTATTTCCATACTTTCTTGAAAAATATCAATGCGACCGAATTCAAATTTCGTGTTCATATTAGGCAGCAGCGGTGGCCGCAGTAGTAGACTCTTCGGTCTCCTGATCAGTCGCCGTGCGCTGTGCGGGTTCGAGACCCGTCCCAGGAGAAATTTTTCTCTTGGCTATGGATGTTGTGATTGTCCATAGGTGGTAGACGGTCTCTGACTGTCGAACGTGGAGGTACCACCCGGCGGATCTCGTAGGCGGAGCCAGAATGTGTGCATGTTGCATGCACACGTGTTCCCTCGCCAGAGTCCGTGTGGCGTTCCCCCTTTCCCCTGTATCTATACCCCCTATAGCCCCACGGTACCCAATGGGTGTTTAGGCCTTAGGCCTTCGTGGTAGTTGGAGTATAAAAAAAATATTAAGTTAAGTATGTTAACGTCATAATCCTGTTAACGGATCTATACACTTCTAGACTGCTATATTCCTGAGAGATGCTAATTTCAATCAAACCCTCATCCTTTAAAAATCCCTTCACGCTCTCTAGGCTCGTGCTAATCACGGTACGCTTGACCGAGCCGACTATAATCGGCCATTTTTGACGCCTTCTCAAAAACATTCGCACCAAATTTGCATTTAGAGAGCGGCATAATTCCTCGTCGTTCGACGCTTCTCTGCCACGTCCGCCGTAAATTCTATTTCGAAATTTAATTTCCTCTCTTGCAACGACAAAACGTTCACGGACCGACGGACGGCCTTTTTCATACTTTACGTTTTTCTTTAATCTGCCATATTTTAATAACTCATTTATTCGCAAATCCCTATTAGAAGAGGGATGAGGCCTTTGATAAAGCAATCTGTAAAAATTGCTCCAGGCAAGATAGTGGACCAGTCATCCTTACTTAGGGAAAAAGAAACTCTTGATTGGAATATCGATAAAAAAATCTGAGCATTATTGTTTTTCCAGTTCCGTGTCTTCCTTCACTTCAGATCTCCGTACTGTGAGAAGATCTTCCCTCCTCAAAAAAAAAATATATATATATATAAACATTATTGATTTTGGTTCCATTCTTATTTTTGGAAAATACATCTAACGCTTTGCTGATCACCTCTATAGGCTAAACTGTGATAATTTGACATAATCATGTGTTAAGTTCACAACCATCTCAGCGCTGATTCTATGGTTATGACTATTTTAAGCTGTTGCTCATTTGACTTCACATCTGTTTGCTCTATATTGGTCTTTTTCACGATTTATGACAAGTGTTATCCAACTTATAAATGCTACAAGGATAAGTAAGTATAAAGAATTACGTCAAATATTGTGGCCACGGCTGTGATGCGGGATGCTCCGCCAAATCCAGGAATTGCCGAAACAACAACAGCTAGTGTTGCAAAAACCAAATAACAACATTTTCTGACTTTCTGGGAAATTGTAAAATTAGTCATGATCGTTAGAGATAGAATAATTACAACTTTCATAGCATGGATTGCACAAGAACAAACCGCTAAATCATTTCAAACAGAAATAAAAAAGTCTTCATTACCATCCTAAAGATTAATAGAACTTAAATTGATACTTTTAGCACATAAAATAAGTTACAAGTACAAGGATTTTGATGTCGCAGGCACAACGCAAAGAAAGTTTGTTCTTTCTTCATGTCAAGCTTTCGAAAATTTTCATTTTTATCAGGGCACACTACGAAGATTTGTAGTATTAGAAGAAAATTGCAAATTAGGATTTTATTTGCCTGAAACAATTTTTTTTCGTCTAATAATTTCTATTTCGATTCGGCAGTTACGCTCCGTCCACTATGAACGTCCTATTTGATAGCAGAATCGATTACGAAGCTCGTTGTGATAATCGTTTTATTAAAATATAATATTAAGTAGTCAGTTCCACCCAAACTGGCATATCTGTCTCACCCATAAATTGCGTTGAGTACTTCCGACGTTGCCCAACTACTCAGAATTTATATTTGCACTGGTATCGTTATCTCAGGCGGCTGTGGGTACCACCGCAAAGTACCACCCAGAAGTCTGGTCCGCGTAAGCCCCAGAACGTGACGATCGTGTCATTATATTGGCGCACAGACAGCTGTTTTTTCCAAGTATGGTTGCTGCGACACTCATCTAGGAACAGACCGGAATCATTAGATTATGGAGAGATTGAAAAAAGTTTTAATGGGTAAGCCATCTGGAAACAGGTAGAGAGGGCAGTCCCTTGATATTATGTACTGCAGGCGACAGTAAAAGAATGTGTCAAATAAGATGCACACCATCATAGTATTATTGACACTGTTCAACCTATGGAGATTTTTATGAATTACTCTTAGAGGAACCTTATACATCTCATTTTCTCCGACTCTGAATAGGTATAATAGTCATCTCTAAGCTTGACCAGAAAGAGCGCTGATAGACATTATAAATATACAATTCTAACCATAAGATCCAGTCACTCAGCAATCTGACCAGTAGTTTGACCGCGCATTGAAAATATACGCAAAAGTATTATGCTATGAAAAAATGGCGTCATGTCAGGTTGTCTACACTTCCTACGCAACGCTGCCATCAGTTTATTAAGGATTATGTTCACTGAGAAAATGAGCACGTATAACAGAAGTTAAATAGATCAAGTCAGTGAATACAGGCCCACACATTATTTTTCCCTACACTACCGGAAATGCCGTCCATCTGGCAACGTCGCCCCTTTCCCATGCCTGACCGGACGGTACATCAGGTACGGTAGCGCGGTAGTAATTCCAAGACACTGGTCGAGACTAGCACACCTGCTGCTGAACCTAGAAACCACAAGCAAAGACGCGTATTGAAAACATTTGGGTGGGTATAAATATATAAATATCAAAGAATTGAGTTATACCCTTCCCAAACTCCCCAACCCGTACAATTTTTTTTCTAAAAATGACCAGGAGCATCTGAAGTGTCAAAAACGAAGTTTCAGCGATTAGTATTCTTTCGTTTTTGCCAGTATCTCCGCTGCCACTCGAACTTTCCTTTTTTGTTCTTGGCATTGTAGTAATTTTGTGTGTAAAGTTTCATCCAAATCCGACAGGTACATACTTTCCAAGTTATAGACAGGCCAAGGATTAGCGAACAGACAGACAGACAAACCGACCAACGGAAATGAGTGACAAGGCACCTCATAGTATAACATCCAAAAGACAAAATATCTCATTATCGAAATTTTTCGCGATTACAATACTTCCTCGACAGTGGAGTAGGAAACAAAAAAAACAACTATACATCATAACGAGATAATTATCTACACCAAATGTTCATAATCTTTTGTGTAATTCATAGCTTTTCGTGACGAATGTATCATAGTAAATTGTCTGTGAACAACGAATACTACTAGATAAATTGATCTCCGAGATACGTTCTAAAAAAAGATGGTGCGTTGTCATGGGGCATTTAGATGATGGGTGAAAAATTGAATTGACCTACCGAACTTGAACACATGTGTGGCAGTAGTTAATGCTGTATGAGACGCGCGTCGTAAACGAGATGTCGTTTACGTCACAACAGATATCATGAATAAGTTGATAGTTGTAAGACTAGCATGTGGTAAATATTAGAAAAAGTTATTTATTAAATGCATTGAATTGGGCCATAGCCTTTTATATAAGTTATTATGGTTAGTTTCTGCTGGTCTATCGGTCTGCAGCGGTGTACTGACGAGGCTATGTGTACAGTGGATAGTATCCAATTGGTATCAGGCGTCGTTGGTATCAAGCACCAAATTAAGCTAAACATTAAGCGTTCATGTCTTTCTAGTAGACCCTCTTTTTGACACAATTTTTGGAACGATAGATGTAGCACGGAAACACGCAAAGCTTCTCCAACATATCAAATATCTATTTGAATGCAGAGTTCCATAATTGACTTGCCATTAGTCGAGACTCAAAGCCATGAAATGTGACTCCGAATTCTCCAAATCATCCATCCTAGCATTTCCATCGTATTCTATGTCGCTTCTTTCAACGCCACACCCTTCTACCTTCCATGCAATACCAGTAGCGACTCGTCCACAGGAACAGATGATCAAGTTTATAGCAAAGCATACAGCGCTGTGCCATATAGATGCGCAGCATACCATCATTTAAAAAGTTGACGCAAGCAAAATTTAGATTCATATTAAAACTGATGGAAGCAGTTCGGATGACATATTTCCAAAATGGTGGCACTTTCGGTTGTACCGAATATCGATACAAGCATGCTTATTTTAAATAGAACACCATATACAGGGTGGCGCATGGAAAACGAAACAGACGCATTTACTGGCAGCTCAGTTTTTTTTTTGGAAAAACGCTCAGAAACGTCGATTTTGTTTTCGAGGGGACATAAGTTTGGCAAAAAATCACGTTAACACGTGCAGCCCCCTGGGCGGGGGTGACACCAACCCTAAAATCTTAGATGGAAAGGGGGGTCGAGAGATACCTTATTTTAAAGCTCTTTCAATCCCCTTTATAATGATGTAAAATACATGAGCTTCAGTTCAGTAGTTTTGAAGGTTTAATTGGTACATCAGATTAGTTTGTACTACTTTCAGAAGAAATGTGTCTAAAAGAATTTACTTAATAAGTAAATGCTTTTCTTCACTACGCCCATGGTTTGTTTATCATTTTGTTGTTGCAAATAGCTATTGGAGCGTTTTTTGTAGCAAAACAGTTATTTCTTGAAGAAAGATAAGGAAATGTCTCGTACTTATTTTAAATAGGAATTTAGTACATAGTTTGCGATTGATTTGACCAAACTTTGTTGCTAAAATAACTTGTAACGCTTTATTACATAAATTAACCATGGTATATTCCACAGCAGAAACAGTTGAAATTATCGAAATATTTTTCGGAAATAATCACTGCGCTAATAGGACAGCAGAAATATTTAATGAGCGACATGAGAACAGTAACGTGCATCGAAAATATGTTCTAGAACTTGTAGCTAAATTTTGGGAAACTGGGTCAGTCGCTAATAAAAAACGCAATATTGTAAATTCCGTAAGGAACGAAGCAATAGAAGTGGTTGTTTTAGGGCAAGTTTATGTAGATCCTACGTTAAGTACCCGTTAATTGGAGACTGTGTGTAGTGTTAGTCGACGTACTGTCCAACGGATTCTAAAGGCCCATAGTTTTCATCCGTATAAAATTCACCTGGTACAAGAACTTAATGAAGACGATTTTGATCGGCGATTACAATTTTGTGAAGATATGAGTGAATAAATTATAAAGATGAACATTTTGTATTCAACACTTGCTTTTCCGACGAATGTTCATTTTTCTTAAATGGCGTAGTAAATCGTCATAACTGCCGATACTGGTCCGATTCTAATCCCAGAATTTATCATGAGGTTCATACACAGCAGCCACGAAA